TTGCAGTGAGCCAAGACTGCACTATGCACTCCAGCCTGGGTGACAGAGTGAGACTCCATCTTAAAATAAATAAATAAATAAAAAATACTGTATCAATTGGTTCAACAAAATGTGCTAATATACAGGGACCTGAGGGCAGAAGAAGAGTACATAGAAACTCTCTGTACTTCCTACTTATTTTTTACTGTAAATTTAAAACTGCTCTAAAATTTCTTAGTTTAAAAAATTAAAATCACATTATACCTTTATGCTTATTTACTACAAATATTTCCCATACTCTAAGTAATTTTTGGTTAAGTATAGTCCTTCAAAAAGATGCACTACAATTTATTTAACCAAATCCTATTACTGAATATGTAGCCTGTTTCTCCAGTCTTTGTATTACAAGCATGATGATGAATATACTCAGGTAAGACTTTACTTCAGATAAGTATGTTCAAATATCAGGTTGGTGCAAAGGTAACTGAGTTTTTTGCCTTTATTTTTAATTGCCATTGTCTTTTTTTTTTTTTTTTTTTTTTTTTGAGCCATAATTCCGCTCTGTCACCCAGGCTGGAGTGCAGTGGCACATTCTTGGCTCACTGCAACCTCTGCCTCCCAGGTTCACATGATTTGTCATAACTAAAAAGAATTCAGGGTAATATAGAAGAATCCTTTGCTACCCAATTTATTTGTTTCCTAAGTTGAGAACAGTGAGTAACAGCGACTCAGATGTCCAATAGTTTATCTAAAACCATGTACTTATCTGTGTGATTCCCACATGCGTATTTTCATAACGAGAAATACACTTGCAGCCTTAGCATCTAAATAGGAAACCGTTTTTAATAACGGTAACAACAAAGAAAGCATAGTTATTTAGAAGAGGATGGGAAAAAGGCTTCAGATGTCTATAATTAATAGCTTTTACATGCGTTTTTAAGAGGCTCTACATTTTGGCAGGACTTTGACGGCAAAGCCCAATGTATGGCTGTCTACCTCATTGCAAATACACATTTATTACTATAATTAGTATTATTACTCTCTACTCATCAACTTTGATTAGAAACTTTTTAAAGGCAAAAAGCAATAAAAAAGAGGAAGAACTTGCTAAGGCATCTGAAGAAACAAAGTGAAAATATTGCCAGTAAAAAGCCAATGAAGCAATTACATGTCTAGGTGTGAGAAAAAGACTGCCTGAGATTCAAAGTTTAGTTTTATAATCCCTCCCCCTCTCACCCAGAAAAACACAAAAGAGGATAGCAAGTACAGGTTTTGTTTGAATAAGAATAGAATGAGATATACAGTAATGGGATAGAGTTAATTAAATTAATTATAATACTTCCACAACAAAATCCTGTGCAGCCATTAAAAATGGTAATCCATAATCTGTCACAGGAGTAGACAAAAAAAGTGATAATTTAGAATTTATATACCTAAATAATATGCTAGTGAACATACTAGGCACAAAAAGCATATATACCGTGTATATCATACATATGATTTTAATAAAAGAATAAATGCACACAAACATGTATTTTACATTTATACAAAAATATTAGTAGAGATTATCTGTGGGTAGTGGGATTGGGATAATTTTTTCTTTCTTATCTGTTTTCTAATTCTTAAAAATAAACATGTTACTTGTATATTAAAAAAAAAAGTATAAAAATAAACTACGGAATTTATTTCCTTAGAAAATTCAGCCCTTCATGTAACAAACAATGAATTTCTGAAGAAACATAAATACTTATGTACATGTACATACATAACTATATAAACAAATACATGAAAGTGGAGGAAGTAAGAGGGTACGGCTCACAAATTGCAGCCTGGGTTACCAGAAGGCAGTATAATACTGACTTGGAATATAAATATGGAAGGACAGCAGGTAAGAAAAGAAGGCTGAAGAAACATCAAGCATGGGTTAAATTCTTGATTCCTCAGATTTCTCCTTTTCTCATTCGTAAACTCAGCAGACAAACTGGTTAAACTAAAATTAGCATTGGTTGAATATTTCAGATAAAAATATTTAATTAAGTATAAAACTATGTTAAAATAAGAAATGATTAAAATTAAGAGATTTCAGAAAAAAAGCTCTCTTAAGCCATAAGAATAATAAAACACTGGAATGGGTACATTTTGGAGTCTCCATCCTTAAAGTCTACATGGCTATCATTCCAACTGACTGAAAACATATTGTTGGGATATCTTTCATATATGCCTTCAGCTTTGTGATTCAAAACTGAATTACCTGCTCAACATTAATAAAGATGAGCAGAATGATGACTTCTTGCATCATCACCACTATCACTTCCTCAACTTAAAACAAGTATTTATATAAAACAAAGAAAGATCCTTAGCGATATTTTATGTCTCAGTACAATGGAAGGTACCACAGTATGGTGGAAGGTAACAGCACATAAAACTACCAGATACAAGATCCAGAAATCGCTCAATCAAAAATCAAAGTAGAAACTCTACACCAACACTATCCATTTTGTAAATGAACTGTACTATAAAATTTCAGATATATCTACAAAAATGTTCTCTCCTTGTGCTCTACAAAATAGCAGGCTATAAAACAGCTAACATGTGGTATTGCACTTATATCACAGATCAAAATCTTCCAACAGTATCTTCCAACAGTATCTGAGCTAGAGCCTTTGGAAGAGGAAGCAACAACAAATAACCAACAGTATAATGTATATAATGTAAAATATAAAACTGTAAATGCACAAGGTAGTATTTCTTGAAGTGGCAATCTGAGTTCCAAGCTGCCTGCATTATGAGCAACAGAAGGTAACAGCTGCAAACCTATAACCTATATTGCCAGAGAGCACCCAGGAGCCCAAGGGCTTCGATGAGCTTTTAAAACACTGTTGACAACTGCCTAGCTGCTAGGAATACAAAGTTTAATACCATGTCCTTATCGTCAAGGTTTGAAAACCTCAAAGGCCTTAACACTATTGCAATACATTTAAGATAATCTACAAGTTCTTTAAAAACCTGAGAGACTGAAAACTTGCTATGTTCCTATATTATTGCAAGACCCCATTCCCATCCCAAGGACAGTTTAAGAAAACACAGGTTATATGTGAAAGAAAGTGTTTATACATTTGAGAACCCAAATGAAATTATATTTCCTTTATGGTTCTGTAATTTATAAAATTGGATAAAGTTGACCTGATATTCCATATTATTATTACACATACGGTACGGTCAAATCACTGAAAAAGCTAATCGTTGGTAAAAACAGATAATGCTCTTAATTTAGTTAGCCATAGACCTCACTTTCCAATATTGGTAAGAGTTTCAGTAAGAAAAATACAAAGTGTGCTTTTTAAAAGTTGCATAATATTCACATTTAAAAAATACACAATACATGTTTGATTTTAGAAAAAGCCACACATATAAAAGGAAAGCAAAACTATTCATAATCCATACTTCAAATATAAATACCACGAACATTTTAGTCTTTTCTTTCTAGTCCATTTACAACGAAAAGATATGTACTTTTCTTTTTGTTGTTTCTTTTTACAAAACTAGGATGAGTCAAAATACAGTATATATACACTGTACTTGCTTTTCTTCAGGCTAACAATTCTTCCTCGTCATTAATAAACTCAACAACATAACTGTTTAATACCTGCATATATTCCAATTATAAATATGAAACTATTAAATAGTCCCTTACTTTTAATACACAATAGTAAAAAACAAAAAAAACTAGAAACAACTTAAATGAACTATAACGAGCAACTTTATATAGAATACATCTGGTTATTTTCTTGTGATACCTAAAAGTAAAAATACAGTGTAGGTATGCATTACTTTTTCAGCTCTGAATATTTATTGATAAAACTTTCTTTTATAAAGGTTATACTAGTAATACATAGGAGTTCAAAATTGTATTAATACACAAAAGTCCTTTTTCCCAACCATACTTTAAAAACATTAGATTTTATCATTAAAAATAAATTACTGTAAATCTGATAGTAAACTTGTTCTTGGCCTAAATTGTATAAAATATAATGGTAATCATAAAAAAATTTTATAAGCATGATGTTAACACTTTGGGAACACAATCTAAACCTAAAATAATAAGTTGTACTCAATATTTAAAATTTATATTAAGAAATGCCTGTATGTTACTGCTTAGTAATATCCCTTGAATTAATAGTTGAAAAGAAAAATCAAAGCAAATCACACTTCATAAGAAATGTATTCACGTTAAGTTAAAAAAAAATTTTTTAATTGATCAATATCAGCATCATTACTACCAGTATCACTACTAAGAACACTTCTCCCTTGAACTATAGCAACAAAGGCTCTACTTATTTTTGAAAACTATGCCAGTGAAGAACCAAGTTTATAGATTAGAAATATGTTCACCTTACAGATTTAAGTGACTGCCAAACTCAGTAAAAGCTAGAAGAAATTAATCTCCTGACTTCCACTCAATATTCTTCTATATAAACTCTCTCATTTAAAAAATGTTTTACAACTCTAGCTCTTCAGGTAGAAAGAGATGTCCTGACAAAAACAAATAAAAGGAAGTCAATATATTAGTTCACTTAGCCATAGTTTATTCCTTCCCAATAATCGTGTTTCACTAAGACAAATATTTAAAAAACCAACGAAAGTAAAAATTTGGGTGATAACTTTTTAGAAGACAATTATTCAATTGAACATTTACTTAAATTGAATAAATTATTCAATTAAAGTTTAATAATTTGATTAAGCAATTAATTAACATTTAATTGGTTTATTTCAAACTTATTTAAGAATAGGTTAGGGCATGGAATTTATAAAACAACAAAAGTTAAATTACATCACTGACCCCAAAACAAGCTTCATTTTCTATTTTGATTTAGTGTACAAAATTTTGGAAAACTATGACATGTAACACAAATATTTGGATCATAATTCATATTTAATATAAAGTTAGTATAGAACAACAATTTTTCATTTGTTAAATAGGGTGGGAAGTGAACACTTTTAAATAAAATTTTAAAAATTACCTTCAAATAAACTGAGGTCTCTTCGTAGCCGTGGTCCATAAAGCCCTTCTAAAATACTCTCAAAACCTGTGTTTTTAAAGAGAGAAAAGTGTATTAACTACTAGAAAAGTTTTATTATATAATAATTTAAAGCAATAAATTCTGTATCAATCAGCAAATTAATTTAACATATGCTTTTCCTCCAGCTGAATTAAGCTGAACTATGCAATATACAACACAACAGTCACACAATGACTACCAGAAATTACATGAATGTAAAGAAATTAAAATATCAAAATGTAAATATTCATTACTAAAACAACAACTTTATCATTTAGAACTATTTCTGGGTAAAATATTATGGGTAGATTTCGTATGTAATTATCTTGTAGAGAGAGGAAAAATAATGAGAAGACATGTATTATAATTGTTTATATTTGTTTTAAAAAAGTAAACTTAAAAAAATAGAATCTTTAACCTTCATTACAAGAATGAGTGAGTGTCAATAGGGAGAAATCTTTCTGTTAAACCTATGATGTAGAAAATTTAAACTTACTTGTAAAAATTAAAACACAACAATTCGGTCATTGCTATGGACTGCCCTAAATTTCAGGTAAAAAAAAAAAATTACTGAAAAATCTTATCAAGTTAACAAAACCCCAGTTCACTAATTTCCCATGTATTTCACTTTCTGGACATATTAGTTTTAAGATTTTACAATTTCTACTTTGAAGTCTGTAACATATTTAATTTTAAGCAACAATCAACTACAGACATCCAAAGAAAAATACGATCCTGATGGCAAAATAATTGAGAAGCCAAGAAAAGGAACTAATGTAAGCCGTGTGTGGATTTGGGAGGAAAAAATTAAACATGGCATAACAGACCCTAAAAATCAAAGAAAAAGTAGATTTTCCCAGTGGCATTCCTAAATTGTAAAATACTAGTAATACTTCTACAGAAATATTTCATAAGTATACTTTTGAAAAACATTAATATCTCCAAAATCAAGACTCATCTTAGAATCTACTGCCATAATAAAAAGGTAGCCACCGTTTTTCATTTAATAAAACACAAACTATTGATGCATCTTACAACTAATAATGCCTTAGATTTCACAAAGTAAGGTAGCTATCATGGTACTTGGTAAGTATGCAATGAACAAAATCTTTTGAGAAATGACCGTACTAGTTCCCTTGAGTGGAAATTTCCAGGTAAAAAACTGAATGATCTACCTACTGCCAGAGCAAGCTCTCAAAAATGCTATAAAAAAACTTTCATATTGGGTAGAGACTCAGACAGATTAAGCCTAAACTCTTCTACAGAGGGTTATTCTATTTTACAGTAGAAGACACTCTATTTTTCTGTAATTAACATGCTTCAAAAATATTACCCCCGCTGTGAGCATCTATTGCTGATAACACAGTTCCTAAGACTCTGATTAAAAGTGTATTAGTTGGTCTCATTACAGTCTTCATGTCACTACCTCTCTTCTCCACTTTCTGTCTCTTTAGCTTTCCTTAATGCATTTTGGTCAATTTCTTCTACTATATATTCCACTTCATGAAATTCTTGGGGTTCAATTTGCTGACTAAGACATCTTTTTGTCTAATAATGTCAACTTTATTGAGGTACAATTTTCATATAACACAAGGTATCCATTTTAAAAATAAAGTTCAGTAACTTTTGAAAATACATACTTTCATTTTGCCAAAAACACAACCAAGACAGACACTATTTCCATCAACTCAAATGGTACCCTTGTGCCCTTCTGAGTGCCTGGAATATCCCAAAGCCCATCCCAAAGCAACTTTTCTCCTGTAATGTCTTTATTTGGTTTTGGTAACAGGGTAATGCTGGCCTCATAAAGCAAACTGGGAAATGATCCAATCTTCTCCAATTTTTGAGTTTGTGTATTAAAATATTCATTAATCAGACTTGGAGCTCTCTTTGTGGTAAAATTTTAATCATAAGTCAAGTTTTTAAAAATCAGTAAAAAACTATTCCGGTTATCTATTTCTTATTAATTCAGTTTTGGTCATTTGTATAAATTATAGCACTTACTGGCAAAAAGTTATTCAAAAGATTATCTTAATATCTTTTTAATATTTTAAGAATCTGTAGCCATGTCCCTCTTTCATTCCTGGTATCAGTTTAAGTACTGTCTCTCCTTTTTCTAAATTTTAAAATTTCTAAATTACTAAAAATTGAGTGATTTTATTGATCTTTTTTACAAAAGATCAACTTTTGGTTTCAATTATTTTATTTCTTGATCACTCAGTTTCCATGGTTTTTTATTTCTGCCCTTTCTTCTTTACATCCTTCTAATTACTTTTTATTTTCACTCAAACTTATTTTTGTAAGTTTTTTAGGTGGAAGCCTAATCACTGACTTGAGACCTTTGCTCTTTTCCAACAAAAGCATTTAAAGCTATAAATTTCCCTCTATTCACTACATTAGTTCTATCCCATAAACTGTGTTATACTGTCTATTTTCATTTAGTTCAAATTCTTTATAATTTCCCTATGATGTCTTATTTTACCCACAGGATATGTGTTGTTTAATTTCAAATATTTAGGTGGTGCTCAGAAATATTTCTCTGTTACTGAATTCTTTTTTGTTGTTGTTTGTTTTTGAGACAAAGTCTCACTCTGTCCTCCAGGCTGGAGTGCAATGACGTGATCTCAGCTCATTGAAACCTCTGCCTCCCGGGTGCATGCGAATTCTCCTGCCTCAGTCTCCTGAATAGCTGGGTCTAAAGGCACCTGCCATCATGCTCAGATGTTTTGTATTTTTAGGAGAGATGGGGTTTCATCATATTGACCAGGCTGGTCTTGAACTCCTGACCTCAGGTGATCCACCCACCTCAGCCTCCCAAAGTGCTAGGACTACAGGCATGAGCCACCGCACCCAGCCTGTTATTGAATTCTACCAGATTCTTTGTGGTTATAAAACACATAAGATTACAATCATACTAAATTTTCTGACAATTTATGGATAGCATATGATCTACGCTGGTGAATATTCCATGTAACATTAAAAAAAAATGTCTGTAGTTATCGGGAGGAAATGTACTATAAATGTTAATTAGGATTAGCTGGTTAATAATGTTCTTTGAGTCTTCTCTTACGATTTTCTGTCCTTTCTTCTTTCCTGCCAATTTTGTTTCATGTAATTTGATGGTCTGTTAGGGGGTGCATTTATATTGCATATTTTTATGTCTTCTTTGTGAATTCTTATCATCATTATAAAATGCTCCTCCTTGTTCTTGTTCTGAATTCTACTGTGTCACTGTTATATCAGCTACACCAACTTTCTTACAATTAGCAGCATTTTCATTATTTTTTTTTCTAATTCTTTAACTTTTAACCTATGTCTTTATATTCACATTGAGTTACTTGTGGACAACAGAGTTGAATCTTGCATTTTTATACCGTCTAAAAATCTGTTTTTTAAGGACAGTGTTTAGTCATTAAAATTTAATGTACTTACTGAAATTGTTGGATTTACATCTACCATCTTATTTGCTTTCTATTTATTGCATCTGTTATACATCCTTCCCCATTCTCCACTCCACAACATTATTTTAGGTTAAATGAGAAGTTTGTACTATTCCATTTTGTTGCCACCATAAACTTAATAGCTATACCTCTTTTAGTTTTTTTAAGGGCTTGCCCTAAGGTTTACAATATTCATTTTAGCTTTTCACCATCTTCTACTTTAAAATATTATAGTACCACTTAGTATGTAAGAGTCAGTACATACTCATCTTCCAACCCATCCTGTGTGCCATAGTTATATATTTTACACCTGCTTGTTATAAATCTCATTATACATAACTTACTTAAAATATTAAATATATTAAAACATAAGAAAGTCTTTTAAATTTACTCACAATGTCACTTTTTTGTGTTTGTAGATCTATGTTTAAAGATCTTTTAGCTATTGTTTTGCTTAGAGAAAAAATCAGTTGTCTCAATATAAAAAAAATTGGGGGGGTATAAAGTTGTAGGTCGACAGTTTTTCTGGTACACTGAAGACATGCTTTCACTGTCTAATGGTCTGCATAGTTGCTAGCAAGTTTACAATCTTTCTTTCCTTTATTCCTCTATATGCAATGTGCCTTGCCTTTTTTCTCTGGCTGCTTTTAAGATTTTCTTTTTATCCCTGACTTTCAGCAGTTTGATGATTATGTCCTGGCATGGTTTTCTTGGTGTATGTCTTGGCACAGTTTTCTTGGCATGACTGTCTTGGCATGGTTTTCTTGGGTTACACTGAGCTCACTAAATCTGCAGAATTACACTGGTGTCTATGGCAGAATTAGTTTTTCTTTTCTAGAAGTTTGTGAGAATAGAATCTTACAGAACAGACTCTTTTCTGGGGGGGTGTTTGTCTTTTTCATTCAATGGAATAATTCTGAGCTTTATCTGTATTGTTGCTGGTTATCACTAGTTTGTTATTTCTCGGTATATTCCATTATATTAGATATACTACAATTTTTTATTTATTCAGAAGTTGGTGGATATATGTTTTCATTTTTCTTGTGTAAATAATTAACAGTGTTATCGTAGGGTTATATAGTAGGGTTACGTTTATTTTTTTAAGAAACCTAACTGTTTTCAAAGTGATTGTATCATTTTACATTCCTGCCCCCTGCCATCCATATATGAAAGTTATCATGGCTGATTCACATCCCAATCATCACTTGGTTAGTTGTATTTTTCTTCTCTGCTTTCTTCTTTAAAAAGAAAAATAAAGAGTGATTTGCAGAAAACATTATAATGTCCTCATGTCTCCATATGATTTTAGTTTGTATTTCCCTATTGACCATCTTTTTATAGGCTTACTGGCATTCAGATACCTCTGTTCCAATCATTGGTACAATTTTTAATTAGGTTTTTAGACATTTTATCATAGTATTATAAGAGCCTTTCCAATTTTGTTTTTAAATATATTCTGTATGCAATTCCTTTGTCTAATAATATACGTTGTGGATATTTCTCCTAGTCTATTGTTTGCCTTTTTATTTTCTTAATGGTGTTTCCCAAAGAACAAAAGTAGTTAATTTTGATTACCACCCAGTTTTT